ACTGCTTCTGGCTCCGCCGCAAGTCCTGTGACCTGTCCTGTCCTGTCCTGTCCTGTCCTGTCCTGTCCTGAACCAATCTGGTAGATCACTTCAACAGTGTGCTTTGGAGATCAATTCCGTTGTACCTCCTTATGCCGAAGAAGCTTGGCACTTGTCCCAAAGCTCTTGAGGCACGTGAAAGGCGAGCCGAAAAGAAAAAAGAAGAAAAGGAGAAGAAAGAGCGTGAGCTTGAAGAGGCTTATTGGAAGGATGAAGACAAACACGTAAATAAAAAGCTTCAGCGGAAGGTTTGTACTATTTTTTTCGGCTGACTTTTTCAAATAGGATGAACGCGACGAAAAACGTCAGGAACAATTAGATAAGAAGAAAGAGAAAGAGCGTTTGTATGCTCAAGAACTAGCTGAAATAAAGGCTGCCAAAGGCGCTAACGTTAAGTCATGTCATACTAAGCTAACGCAGGCCCAAATCGCTTCAGCTCGAGAGGCTCTTGCTGAGCAGCTGGCGGCCTTAAACAAAAAGCAGACGAAAAAGGAAACAGAAGAAATACAACCCAATGTTAACCGAATGGAGGTGGAAGGTCTGGAAGCGCGTAATGTGGAGGAAGCCATTGCTGTTCTGAGGTAATTTTACTTCTGTCTTCATTTCCGAAGGGCATTGTTGAGCTACTGTTACATATTTGTTTGAGCCTGAATTGTGTGCCGGACCAATGGCGTTACAATATTTTTCATATTGAAGAAATGGGCGGAGTGCTACTATAGTAGCATAGTAGATCTATGGATCGCCCAGGCCAAAACTGGTGTTCACAGTCTGAGCCTTCGGTTTGTTAAAGCCTGCAAGAAAGCATAGCAATGAGTTAAAAACGTTTCATGTTTAGGACCATACACTCTAAGAACGAGGTCAGACTTCCGACTCGCTAATCTAGCTGGTGACCATTTCCGGTTGTTTCGTACACATTTTCTTGCTTGATTTGGAATCAGGGCTTTGAACCAAATCTTCTAGATGATCTGCCGTTTGTTCGCCAGGCTGTTTATAGCCATGGGTATTAGGTTTTCTTCCTCACTTTGGCTGGAAAACGGCTTATCTTCATGTTTAGAAGACAGAAGAGCCGCTCCCCATACGCGCCTCCACCTCCCGTACCGACAGCAACCGCTCGTGTCCGCCGTCTCACCAAATGCTCGTCGAAATGTCGTTAAAATCGCTTCTCGTTCTGTTCCACCACCACCTACGGGAGTGAGTTCGCTAAAGTATTCGCCCTCCGGGAAAGGCGATAAACCAAAGGGAGTCCCATAGAGCCTAACTTTCAGAGAGTGTGCTTGTGACCACGAGTCTGGTTGCAGTCCCGTAGTGAAAACAGCAAGTAGCTCCGGTCTGAAATCATCACGAAGAATCTTCCACAGATATATCAAATGCCCGCGAAGTCTCCAGCAGCCAACCGGGATAAACCCTAGTGCCAGGAGCTCACCTTTATAGTTGGTCTCACGTGAATATTGTAAATGAGTCATCCTCAACAGAGACTGTTCAATGCGCTTGATAGCATAAGAGTATTTAACGAGGTGCACAGTAAGGGTGCTCAACCAAAAGACAAGACAGCCTCTAACTATACCGAGGCTTTCGGTGGAGAGGTGCTTAGATGTTATCTAAAATAAATTCATCGCTTTGCTGGTGACCTGTTTTCTTTTTTCAGCAGAAACAGGTTAGTGATGATTTCTCAGAGGATGCTTTAGAAAGCAATTCTTTACAGCTGTTTGTCTTTTGAGAATGATGTCATACCCGTAATCTGAGAAGCTGAGTCGCACGAAGTCAATAGCCTGCTATATAAAGCCGAGTTATTTACCCTATAGAACTACGTTGCAGGAAAGATACGAGATGAATTCAGTCTATCTGCATCGTTAGACGTTTTTATTGCATGTTTTGTGCTTTTTCACACATCGGGATCTACACGTGATCGTCGTTCTCTTGCGGCGGTTCTCTAATTCCCTATATATTGCATTAACCACTTTTACACGAGAACCCAATTTTCACTCTCAATAATCACCAACCTAAGCATTGAGACTTAAACTGACCAACGGTACTAGACTCCAACCAGATTGTCGCGGTATTGAGCTGAACCGTAACGAAACTGTCCACCAACAAAGTTGGCTAGTGGTGGAATTCTCTATGATAGCTGATTAAAGCATGAAGCTTCGTCCATGTTGAGAATCAAACTGAAAAACCTTCTAGTTGGAATCCAAACTTCTTACTCTTGAGCCACGCGGTTAACTATTAATACCTTTAAGGTACATAAGACGCTTTCGTTCTGTTACCCATGCCAATTCACGGACGCCCATACTTGCGTATTATCGTTTTACTTAAATTCCCTAAACGAAGGTTCACGATTTGACCTTTTCCAAGGACAAAATAAACTACGTTACTGATGAGTCCGAGTGGGAATCAAAAATGCTCAGTAAGTTTCTCTTGCCTTCTGGATTGTGGTTTTAGAAACCCCCGCAACCCGTAGGTTGCAGACACTAGAGGACACGAAAGGAAACGGACAGCGGTGTTCTTGTCACTTCTTCGAAATGGGTTCAACCTCTGTAAAACGTACACATTCTGTGAATTGTGAGTTTAACAGTGGTCAATGAAGTTCGCCTCGCTATTCAGCTGTACTGTGATCATGAAGAAGTGAGATGCTACTGATAACTGCTAATTCGCGACGCAAAGCAGTGAAATATTCTTCAAATAAGCCATGAAAGATAACTGGGGAACAATAGAAAAGAGTGAGAAGAACACTAATGCACAAAGGAAGAAGTCGTAAATCGTTCGACGGGGAATCATTTCAGTTTACAAATAGAAAGGGAAACCTGTCCCATTTTACTAATAGTGCGCAGAATTTAGTGCAATTTTCGAAGGTATTTGATAGCATCCACCCTACAAATGGAGCGAACTCAACATGCGAAAGCTCAGTGGGATGAGGTGAACGCAAAAGCATACGTATAAACTCGAAACGTTGTGGTAATTAAAAATCGAAACATGTTTGAATGGGCAAGTTGTGGGTATCAATTAGATTATGGGATAAAGACAGAAAATCATATGACGAGCGGAAAAGCCACACTTGTAAGCAACAGACAATTATAGGAAAAGAACCCCCCCTAATAAACCCCATTTATTTACTAATAGACGAAACAAATTGCCGTTGAATTGATGGCATTAAGTTTTCGCAGTAAAATAGTCTTAACCGCGAGAAGGTGTACTGATCAACCACAGGACCGATTTATGAAAACGATCAACAAACCAAGTCAAACGTAAGATAATCAGCAGATTTTGGAGAGATTTATTGAGATGACAGCAAAAGATACCACGTCAGCGGTGGATGCAACGAGCACTTGTTACTCGTTAAGTGCGACAGAGCCCGATTGTGTCTGTGAAGATACAAGCACGATCCAAAGCGAGCTCAGAGGAAAACAATCACTTAGATTCAGCACAAATGCGATTCTATGATAATATACAAGTAAATCACAGCAGTATGAATAGAATATACCTCGAAAGTACAGCAATATATATATATATATATATGTATATAAACCAATCTTTACAGATACGGCGCCAAAAATAACCATGGGTGAACGAAAAAAATACAGGCAAGAAAACGGGGATAACAAAACAGTCAACTTCGGGGAGCAACAATTTTTTGTTTGTTTACTGCACGCCATTTTGAGTTTTTTTTTCGTTTTTGTTTACTTTTGGGATTGCAAACAGGAGAGGACACATTTGCGCCACTGACTTCGGTTCGATGCCATATCCCGCAGTGTCTCAAGCGAAAGACGATCTGAATCTTTGGGGCCCCAGCCGGGGAGCCGAAAAACCCCAACGGAAGCCAGATCCGAGCACAATCCCTTTAACCCTCTGCGCCACGTCATAGCCTGCCCACCTCGTTGCTTCTTCCAGCCTGGACCAACGTCTGCAAATAGTCCACGGTATGGCAAACGGTGCTCAGGCATTCGTAGGACGTGCCCTAGCTACCTAAGACGATGCAGTGAAATTATTTTGCCCAGAGGAAGACTATCTGGTCCCAGCACCCGTCGTCTGATTTCATCGTTATTCACGCGATGCTCCCACCATACGCGGGCGATGTTGCGCAGACAGCGATTATCGAAGACTGATAGCTGGTGGACGTGATCTGCTCGTAGAGGCCAGTTCTCGCAGCCATAGAGCAACACGGAGCGTACCGTTGCGCAATACACACATCCTTTCAGTGAAAGGGATATATCGCGCCGGCGCCAGAGGTGCCGCAGATTAGCGAACGCTAATCTAGCTTTGATCACGCGTTGAGAGATCTCCTCGCCCACACCTCCGCCAGCTGCTATGCAACTCCCAAGGTAGACAGAGCTTTCGACTACTTCCAGAGTGTCAGTATCCAATGAAAGTGCATGGATGGGTTCCTGCCAGTCTTGCAACAACACTTTGCACTTTGAAGGTGCAAATGACATACCATAACGAGTAACCTCAATTGCCAAACGATTCAATGACTCTTGAATCGTTGGTACGTTGTCACCCAGTAAGGCAATATCATCGGCGTACTCTAAGTCTACGACTCTGTCCCCAAGAAGAAGCTCGACACCAGGCTTCGTTGCGTTATGTAACGCGTTTTGTAGGACATCATCTATGGCAAAGTTGAAGAGTAACGGAGAGATAGAACAACCCTGTCGCACCCCACTGGTGACAGGAAATGAGGGTGAAAATTCACCATAGGCCCTAACCTTCCCCGAGGTCTGGTGATAGAGTGCTTTTAGGAGTGAGACATACTTCTCGGGTACTCCGTATCTCTGTAGACAGTTCCATAGTGCGGGGCGATCGATAGAGTCGAAAGCCGCTGTGATGTCTAAAAACACGATAATGGTTTGTCGTCTGTATGTGTGGTGGTGTTCTAGTAGCTGACGGAATGTGAAAAATCGATCTATGCATCCACGGCGTGCACGAAGCCCGGCCTGCTCCTCGCGGAATGGGCATAACCTGCGTAATAAAACGGACGCTAGCAGCTTCGGCGCTATTGGAATCAGACTTCTGGGGTACACTCAGTTTCCTAGATATTCGAGAACAGTCTCACAAGTTCTCTTACGAGAGCATCTCTACCATCTTTAAAGGGGGCAGGTGGCAGGCCGTCTGATCCAGCTACCTTGTGGCGTCTCAGTGCTTGGAGCTCATTTCGGATCTCCGCTTCTGTGGGCGGTCCCGTGGCTCGTGGCCAGGGTGCACTTTCAAGAGAGCTGCTTGGGGCAGCCAGCGCGGGGGGCTGGTTGAACTGCGATGTGAAGTGCTCCGCCCAGCGTTCCAATCATCGGTGAAGGCTGTTTATTAACGTGCCATCTACTTTGCAGATTGTTTC